CTCTATCAAGGTTGAGTATATTTGGCAGTAGATGCTTCACTTAAAGGCAACTGCGAATGATTATTTTTTATTACAAACCCCTGTCACATATCGTCTACTGTCTACATTTCAAGACCAGGCTGTTGGAAGCATTTTAACACATTTGAACCATGAGGTGAATAATTCCAAACCATGGTCTCTCTTAATGTCTCATGGAAAGGGTTATGGTAGATATTTACTTTCCTGTGTAAATACCTCATGTTGATACACACCATATATGCAAAACTTCCTGTATAAACCCAAATGGATTTCTTTTTTTTTTGCCCTGACACACAATGATGTTTTAAGATTTTTCTTCAGATTTTTATTTTTTTTTTTAATAAAACATTATGCATCTGATGTACACATGGTTTCTAACTCCAAAATTAGTCTCATCACACTCTATATTCACCATATAATATACACTACAGTATAGTATTTAGTAGGGTGGTTTGTCATATACTGTAAGTTGACCACAGATTATATAGGGTAGTACTTTTAAACATAATTGGGCATTTTTCTGAGAATGTACAAATAAGCCAAAAGAAAATTCTGTAAATGACATTCTTTAAATGTCACATGATCCCTTAGTACTTAAAAAAAATTCTCCAGTTTGCCTTCAATTTGAGAAAAAAAAGGAAATTCTTTATCCACAATAACACATACATGGTACAGTAAATTCATCGAACATTCAGTAAGTAAACAGCAGACACAGGTAATTTCTGAACAAATAAAACAAGTTGAAATATCTAGTTTCTGTCTAACCCTTTTTTATATAGTACTCAAAATAAACCGAGACATATTTGTGAAAAATAAAGATTTATTGCCTCTCATCCACCATGGCCAAATTTCAACACATTTCACATTAGGAACTAATTAAACCAATACATCCTACAACGAGTTAAGTACATGTTTCAGATATACTGGTTCACGGTAAGTACATTTTAAAAGGAGAGGAAGCAGATGGAAATATATTTGACTGATATGGAATGAAAGACAAATTCAGAGAGAGGAAGGACGACAGACAGACATCCTTACTTTGATTCACCCATTCCTAGTCTATTCAACTTTTTATGTATATCACCAATATTCAAAATCACTGACAAATATCTTTTGAAACACCAAGCAAAGAAGAATTTACTTTACTTTTTACCACATACATCAGTTAATAATAAAATTTGTATAACACAGTATAACAAAATCACAGTAATATTAAAGTAAAATCCTCAATAAAGATTATATGATATCAATTTATCTTCCCTATATCTTTATGAAGTTTGTTTCCTTAACATTTAAAGAAATACAATATAATGAAATAAAAGTACAAATACTAGTAATTCACAGATTTCCCTATTCAATAACTTATTTTTACCTTTTCCTCTTTCAACAAAGCAAAAACTGACATCCAAATATACAGTAGAGAACATACAACACAGACCTACAAAAACTGGTCAGTAATTGGCAAAGAAAAAACAGACAACATGACTTCTTGCATCTTCCAAGCGGTACTTCCTGTGGCCCCAAACCAACTCTACCACTGTGGACTAAAATGCAATTTCTCTTTTAAGGTTCATTTAAAATTTAACTGTGTGTGTGTGTGTGTGTGTGTGTGTGTGTGTGTGTGTGTGTGTGTGTGTGTGTGTGTGTGTGTGTGTGTGTGTGTGTGTGTGTGTGTGTGTGTGTGTGTGTGCGTGCGTGTGCACCTGTGTGTGTGCATGTGCATGTGCATGTGCGTGTGCGTGTGCGTGTGTGTGTGAACGTAGACGTGAATGTAGATGCCAGGTAACCATCAGTGTTTTTGTTTATGATTATATAATTTCAAAGACTTTAACAAGTCACATGCCTGCTATTATATATATTTATGCGTACATGCATCACAGTCTTTCTTAGCTTGCTTTAGGGGTAGCCAAGATGTAGGAAAAAAACAATGAAGCAAAATAATATGAACACGAATCTGCAAAACAAAACAAAGAACTCACATTTACAGAAGATACAAAAAATGTTTTGGCCTGCAAAAGCATCAAAACTTTATGTCCACATAAGTGTAACTGCGAAAATGTATTCATATTGGGTGCACGAGTTCCTTCTGTTTTTTGTTTTTTTTCTTACACAGATTAGTGATATGTGCTCAAAATTAAGTCCAATGGTGATAAACTACACACCGGAGGAATAAGGGAGTACTATTTCATATTTTTGCATATGTGAAATACTGTCTCCTTTCTGTAGAGGTATCATGGTTTGTCAGAAGATACATAATTATAAATCATTTTAAGTATCTCTTAAATGTAAAAATATTTTGCAGATAAAATATCCTGTTGACGTACATACACAAAATTTCTGAATCAAAATCAAATCTTCTTGCAGTAAGAAAACAAGAACATCACAAGTCAATATTGTTCTTCAGTAACTATCAACATCATAAACAAAATAATGCACTACAAGTTTCAGTGAATTACATACCATGCATTATCACTGTACTTAAAAACATCAATTACATATTACACTATCTATCAGTTCAGCCACTTTAATAAACTCTTCTTATTCCTGCTTGAAAAGGAAAAAATAAATGCAGAATCAAAGTAAAGTACAGCTTCATTAAAAGAGAACAGTTTCAGAACCACTTTTTTCATTCTGTATACTGAAATCATACATAGAAGCACACACATTCTTTTCTCAATGATTTTCCTGTATATGTACACATTTTTTTTCTGGGATTCATTACCATCATTTTCATCAAGCCATAAAATCTGAACAAAAACTGAATATTGGAGCAACAGAACTGCTCTTCTTCATTTGAACCGACGACATCAACTGAGAAGACAACTTGTCAAAGTATTTGTAAATGGTGCTAGCCTTGCCAAAATTATGCTGCTTGGAGAGTCCCAAAACTCTATGGATAACTGGCAAATTACAGTCCTACAGGTCAAATTTAGGTTCATCATGTCCATACTCATCAAAACGAACAGATACTCATAGGTTATACACAGTAAAATGAGCAATATATTTCCTGTAGAATATTGTCAAACACTTTTTGCAGTTGTTGATGTTGAAAGCTTTATTCACTATGTGAAATAGAGGAGAAGCATACATCATTCCTATTGCCTTGTTTGTAAATTACACAAAAGTGTAGCTTGTTGCCTTTGGAAAGAAAAGAAATATTGATAAACCTTACAGCATCCATCTCATTTACATCTCATAACATATCCATACTCTCAGCATTGAGCATTTATATATTTATTCATTTATTTATCTTTTACTGAATTAAAAATCATAAAGCAAGACTACCTGCATTTATATTTGCAGTCAGTATCAAATTCTGTATTGTAGAAATATACTAACTGACATATTACCAATACTTCCACACATATACAAAAAAAATATATAGACATTCATACAACAGCTTAACATCTGCCTCTGCTTCTTGCTTAGCTATTTAGCTGAAACTTGTCTCTCATGACAAAATCCACTGGTTTTCCCTCTACTAAAGCATAAACATCACGATAGTATTACCCTGATGTTATGAACTATAATGTTATAAAACTGACAATTCTTTCCAATTACTAACTTGTGCAAAATTACAAATTTACCCTGTATCAGTGATATTTCTCTTGCATCTTAAGACAATAATGCTTGTAATCTTTCAATATTAACAGCAATCCCTGAATTTTTACTTGTAAACTCTTGATATGCTTAGTGGAGAAACAAGTTAAATTTCCCTGGACTTGACTCGTGGTAAAGTCAACCAAAAAATCCTGCTCAATGTGTTTTTCAAGATTAAGCAACATGACCCTTGATTAAGCCAATAATCCAATCGGCCTATTGCAGAGAAGACTTTAAATCTATAAACATTTGTGATATGGCCACAGCAAGACAGTGGTGTACTGGGCACTGATGATGATGGAAAGCAGTCTAAGAGTTGCTGATCTTCCAATAACATTTATGTACACCATACAAGAATCTGCAGAACACATGAGCTGTCATAAGTGTGCTATACATTCTTCAAAGCTCTTCCAGACTTGCAGTTACCTCATATCTGATTTTCTCTGCTGAACCATTACTCTATTTTGATATTTGTACTAACCTAACACATACCAAGATCATTGAAACAGGTAGAAAAGTGGTCAAGATGCTTACATTCAAACTGAATGCACTACCAAGTTGGCATAACAAGCAACCAGGCAATTAAGAAAGTTCAGAAGACTGTAGTCCCACATTACTAACAGGATATAGTTTCCTCATCATATTAGATATCAGAACTGTCACTGACAATACATACAAGGCTCAAGCTGCACATTTACAGAAAATAAAAAGAAAATGAAATCCAATCTTCAAAGAATCAGAATAATGTACAAGACAAAAAATTTAGACATATTAACTGCTATGCTTAAAGCATCCAAGTTGTATCACATTATAAAATGCCTATCAAATTGAAAAAATCCAGTACCTATTAACTTCAAGCAATCAGCTCAAATGCAGTATGAAGACGTGAGCTACATTCTTTACTAATATATTGTGCTTTAAATAAAGCATAAATGCATGTGCAAAAACTTCACTACATGATTTCAGGGTCATTTTAAAGAAATAATCCTGATATACAAAGATGCTATGAAGAGGCACTATAAGTCATCATGGATCTTTCACCATGGCTAAAACAACTTACAAATTGCTTTCTTTTCTATAATCAAATATCAAAATCTCCATCTTGGGTCTCTGTTTTTCCCTATTGCTGTCACCAAACATTTCTACTTTGATCCTTTTCAGTGAACTGGTAATGATTTTTTAAAAATCTATTTGACAGCAATTTATTTGACAGTTACTTAAACCAATTCATTCTGAAAAGAATCACTGCTAATTCTCTCTTGTCACTTATCTGCAACAGAGCCCATCACCAATTTCTAAAGAAGTCTGTGTGGTCTACAACATGCCCAGCATTATTTTTCTGTGAGGGAGAGCTCCAGGATGCGCTTTAGTGTTTCCTCCTC